TTTTCTACATCTTTATAGTCTCCCCCCCAAAACAACAAAAACCGAGTTCATTGCTTTTTCTTTCATTGTGTTTCTTCGTGCCATTATTGTCTCTGTTCCCAAGTACATTTTCACCTTTTCTCTTTGCATTTGTACAAGAGATCGCAGACTTGTTCATCTTGCTGTGAAGCATGTGTATAGGGAGGTATATAGAGATATTCTTCCACTAGGAAATGCTTGGTCAAACTTCGAAAATAGGTGCAATAACAAAGTTCACTTTTAGGCTTGGCCAAAATGTAGACCTTCTTATGGGTCAAAGATTCTGTAATGTCTAAATACACTAATTTTTTTTTTCTTTCTTTGCAACCTTTCTTTAAGGTTTGGCCTTTGAATGGCTTCTAATGCTTCAATCTAATTAAACATTACAGCTGAGGAATCTCCTCTGGGCCACATCGAAGCATGATGTCTACCTCATGCAAAACTACTCCGTCATGCATTGGTCGTCTCTGCTACGTAAAGGCACGGAAGTCCTTAATGTGACTGGACCTCTCACACCCACTCAGGTAACACATACATGCATAACTTGCATGACTTAGATACAAACATGCATAAAAACACACACATTCACTCAGAGACACATGCATTACATATGTATATATGTTGATTCTTTACTTATGATACATGTGGTTCTCCTTGGCCATTTGCAGAAGCGGCCAGGATCACTTGCACAAAACCTTAGTAGGGTACAGATAAGCACCATGGCTGTGAGGGACAATTTAATGGTGGCTGGGGGTTTCCAAGGGGAGCTCATTTGCAAGGTATGCATGCATGCCATCTGTTGGGTCTTCATGTGTCCCTCGATCTTGTATAAAATGCATGTAGTAAATGGGCTTGTATTGATGTTGCTTTTCTCTTGTTTCTTCCAGTACCTAAACCGCCCTGGGGTGAGCTTCGCTACAAAATTAAGCAACGACGAGAATGCAATTACTAATGCAGTAGATATTTACCGTAGCTCCAAGTAAGAGTCCACTTATGTGATTGATTTTTCTTTCTTCCCCATTTAATCTCTTCCCCCCCTCTCTTCTGGATTCCAGTGCTGAAATGTTCATTGTCTAATTTATGGATTCCTCTTTGTTCTTATTACAGTGGTTCAATGCGGTTGATGACTGCTAGCAATGACTCCTATGTTCGGGTTTTGGACACAGAGAACTTCAGCATGCTCAATCGCTTGATGTTTCCATGGTCTGTGAATGTGAGTAACTGGTGCTCGCTCCTCCTTCTCTCCCCCCCTTTTCAATGGTTGGTCTCTTATGCGTTGGTTATCTATTGCTTATTAAGTGGCAATGAGGAAGTAATTCAGATCTTTTTGTGCTATTTGACAGAATACATCTGTTAGTCCTGATGGTAAACTCCTCGCTGTCCTTGGGGACAGCTCTGAGTGCTTGTTAGCTGATAGTCAAACTGGAAAGGTAAATTTCCCACTTTCACAATGCCGATCTCAAAAGGGGTAGAGAGAGAGAGAGGAGGAGGGGGGGGGGTTTGGGGTTTGGGGTGTGTGTTCACAATAGATGTTTAGATCTCTATTGCATAGTTCTATATATAGATGGGATGGGGACTATGTGATTCCCCAAAACTTTTGGGCAGAAATTTAATGTAAATTATTATTTTTGTGGATAATTTAGAAAACTCCATGTAACTGACTATATGGTTGTTTGTGTAATGCATTATTCAGACCCTTGGGACTCTAAAGGGCCATTTAGACTACTCTTTTTCATCAGCATGGCACCCTGATGGTCGTATCCTGGCCACCGGCAATCAAGACACGACCTGCCGCTTATGGGACATCAGGAAACCCTCGACTGCCTTTGCAGTGCTCAAGGGAAGGATGGGTGCCATAAGAGCCCTCAAGTTCACATCAGATGGTCGTTTCTTGGCCATGGCTGAGCCTGCTGATTTTGTTCACATTTTTGATGCGAATTCAGGCTACGGAAGAAGCCAGGAGATTGATTTGTTCGGTGAAATTGCTGGGATCTCGTTTAGTCCCGACACAGAGGCACTATTTGTGGGTGTGGCTGACCGGACATATGGCAGCTTGCTAGAGTTCAACAGGAGGAGACGCAATTTCTATATTTACTCTATCTTATGAGAGCGCGCTTTCGTGATGATGGCCTGGTGGTGCTGAGGCTTCTGTTTGGAGAAGCATGGTGACTTACTGTATATTGATAGAAAAAGAGGAAGATGAAGTGCACTATATAAGTGGAAGATGAAGTGCATTGTATGTAGTGCGTGTGAAGAGTGAGAAAGTCGAGCCGGAGTAGGAAAACATTGTTCAGGTGTCGGGCTTTTTGATTGATTTTGAGGGAGTTTATGCTGAAGATTTCAGTGAAGTCGGAGATCTCATGGATCATGCAATGCTTCTCGTTGTTTTCATGAGAGAACATTGGTATGGTCTTAGTGAAGAATCGAGCCCGAGCTTGAAGATGACTCTGTCAATTTAGGTCGAGCCTTTATGTGAGTTTTTGCTAATCGTGGTGTGATTTTTTCGACCAAGGAAAAGTGCGACTGACCTTTACATGTTTTTCATTTTTTTATTTTTCTTAAAGAATGTGCATGGAGAAGGGTACGAGGGAGGGTCTGTTATGTACATAATAGTATGTGGAGTTTAGGGAGGGTCTGTTATGTACATAATAGTATGTGGAGTTTTGAAGATTGTTACTAGTGGAAATTATAGTTGTGCATGTCATATTTGCTCTCTCTTTTTTTTTTTGGGTGCGTCAGTGGGAGAGAGCAGTCGACTTGACTTTCATTATATGTAATATTCATGGTGGGAGAGAGCTCTCGACTTCCATTATATGAATATTCATATCAAATCTTGTGTACAGAAGGGTGGGATGCCAATGTTTACGATCTGTCTGTGCAAGGGATATAGATCTTTTTATTTTGATTAGTGTTTTAAAACTCAGGTGATTACTGTCGGCGTTCCGGATGTGGAATGGGGATTGAACTGGTTTGGCGGGGTGGAGTCTTGCTTGAATCTTCTTGAAAAGACCTGATAGATAGTATATAATGAGATTGTTTATCTTTGGTACAAGATGGTCATAATTAATTTTGACCATTGGATGTGAAATTAGGTGGTTTTTGAAAGAAAAATTTTTAAATTTTGTGATTCGCACAAGCTTATCATATTTTACATTGGATGGTTGTAAGTAATTATGATCTTTATGTATTAAAAGTAAATGGTCTCATTGTATACGTTTTTTATTTTAAATTTTTTTTATTTTTTTATTTTTTTTTATGGGTCATTGATATGGATAATTGGAGAATGATCGGGATCGCCATTCCAGCCAATTTGAACGGAGTGGATGTGGATGACTCATCCGTTGTTTTGGTTAACATTCGTTTTGATCGTATTCTATGATGTTATCGTTGGCTTGTTTGAGCATTTCTCTTTTTGGCATGTCGTGTGTTTCGTCGTGCTACTCAACTACGGGTTTGGCTGTTTTCTGTAATATTCCGATTTGAGTCTATTCGTCTTTGTTAATTTGGGTCCTGGTTGAATGTCCTGGCTTACCCAGCCTCGTCTTTTCTCTCCTGTGGAAAAAATGAGAGTTTAACATGTATTATAAGTAAGGGGGGATGCATCTAGACAAGGGATATCATTTCAGGCTATTGCAAGCTGTTAGATGTAATTTATTTTCATGAGAAACTGTCTCTAGATGTAATTTATTTTCATGAGAAATGTCTCTAGATGTAATTTATTTTCATGAAAAACTGTTTTTATTTTTGCTAAGTGTACCCCAATAAGAAGATGAAACAACCCAAATTTTACTCAAAAAGGTTCTATAAATAAAATCAAACGATGTTAGACACGTAACACGAGTAACCCTAGCAGTTCATTTAATTTAAATAGTTGAAAAGTGGAATCGTTGGGATCGTGGTGGTAGCAATTCTGTACTTAGTTACTACATTGTGGTATTCATTCCTACCGTAGATATCCTACTTAATACTTTTAAAATGTCTCCCCCTAATCTATTAAAAAAATGGGTAAAGTCTCCCCCTAATCTATTAAAAAAACGGGTAAATTGCTTTCTCAAACTAAATTATCCAAAAAAAAAAAAAAATTGTGGTTTTCAAAATGGCTTCTTCCACAAAAACTGATGTGCCATTAAAGAGAGAGCCAGAAGGAGATAAGAGTGAAAAGGAGATAGGCTCTTAAGAGTGAAAGGAGGTGCGCTCTTTTGGGTTTCCTTCGGATAAAAAGGGTTTGGGAGATATCTTTAGAAAAGAAGCCGGGAAATGTCATTAAAGAGTTTAATATAATTTTATAAAATTACTTAAGTTGTATTTCATAAAGGTATTTTTTAAAGAATTTATTAAAAAATTTTCAAATTATCCCTGACTAAGGTTGGGAATTCTGAATAATTTGGCTTATTTGACTCCCTCAAGTTGTTCGACTCAAATTACGAATATATCGTAGTTAGTGCGAAGCATTCTAATCATATGATTAAAATAATATTGAATTAGTGAGGGCTTTGGTGCAATCAAAATTAGTTTGATTGCTAGTCGAAATAGTTGAGCTGAATTTTAAAAATACAAACAAATATGAGTAGTTTAAAAATATGTCACATACTAAAACAAAATGGAAAAGGTTTATATAAGGATACAATCTTAAAATGTAGAATTACATATGCACCTCAAAAATCCATTGGAAAAGGTTGTTTTAATGTTGAAAAACCCTCCAATTGATCATCTAAACATTGAGATGTATGAATATGAAAAAAAAAATATATTTTGAATCCCTGAAATTGTGCATCTTGCAACATTTTATGTAAACCATCAATTTTCAATATTTTCATATGTTTATAGATCTACTTGATTTTAACTATTTTTAAAGCTTAAAATTTTATAATTAAATATAAAAAAAGGCTTTCAGATAATCTTAAAAAAAATTTAGACAAAAATTAATAAAATTTAAAAGTGCATATTAATTGGATTGTTTAAGGTTGCAACCTTAACCACACCCAAAACAAAATTGCCCAACTTTTAAAGAATTTCCTTAGAATACATGAAAGTGACCATAACTTGTCTTACGCACTCGCAGAATGTAGAATGTTATCTTGTGTTGGTCAAGTTGGGTTGTTAAGGTAGGTCTTGAAGGATATCAGTAATTGGTGATAATGTTCAGACCACGTATAAGCCACATTTCATCAAAACGACAAAAAAAGAACCCACTTATGAGAGCCAAGAGCCTCGGGCCCCAAATTTATTGGCACAAATTTTTAGGTGCATGGGTTGATATCCTATATTGACCATTCAATGAACCTTGTTATTGAAACTCCACTCATACCAAATTGCAATCAACTGGTATGACTATTGGAAAGACCAACTTATTTAATTGACACCACCTATCAAAGTCAAGAGACCACTTGTTTGCATAAAGTATTTGGTGAATCAGCCGACTCACCTATTCTTGTGTGGTCTCCCTCTGAAATATTTTTCAAAGGCATTTTTTATCCAAAATTATAGGGTTTGAAAATCTCAACCATGATAATGATCTAAACTTGAAAATTTCCTTTTTGAAAATATTAATATTGTTTTTTGAATTCCTTTTTTCCAACATCCACTTTAACTTCTTGTGCATGTAACATACTTAGATGTCCATCTTAGATACGAACATTTGATAGAAAAGGGCCCGCATGGAAATAGGTGATTAAGTTGACTCACGAAAACTGTGTCCTCATATAAATTAAAATACGGGTTGAACTTCAGTTGGCTTGGGATTGTATATAATGAAATCATTTACCTTTGATACAAGGTGGTCACAGTTACTTACACTCATTCGATGTGAAATTTGATAGCTTGGATGTTTCACAAAGTTCGAAAAATTTTCTTTTGCTTGATCTATAGAATAATTGTATCTACCCATTTTCACATCCAATGATCAAGATTAATGTGACCACTTTGTACTAAAAGTAAATAATATCATCCTATACTTTTCCTAAATTAAAATACAACTTGAACTTTGGTTGGCTTGGGTAGGAAACGCTTGTTTACTAAAACAAATTGATTAAACAAACTGAGAACAACCTCATAAGCAGGTGGAATGCAATGTACTTAGCTAATGACGTGTGTTGTATAATGCTCCCACTAAAAGATTAGATTAAAATAGTTTACTTAACTAAAAAGCCGTATGTTTATTTTCTTTTTAATATTATTTTGACAGTTGTTCAATTTTCTAACTGTTTTAAAATTTTTTGAGTTTTCAATTACTTGGATAAGCTAAATATTATATAGAAATTCCTTCCATTTTGGAAGGAATAGATTGAAAATAAAAGCCTTTTTCTATATTTTATTAATTTCTTTGTTGGGTAGCTCTAGTATAAGAAAGGCTAAAAAAATTTAAAAATCAAAGTTCTATTATGTGAATGTCTATTTCAATGCTTACCTCTATCCACCATGGCGAATCATTTTTATCACTTTGACCTTGCTTATCTCCCTACATCGAGGTGTGGTCCCTCGGATTAGTGTTTTGGGAAGTAAGAACCAATGGAATTATCTGCCGCTATCATCTCTTATCCATCCAGAAATGGGAATGAAAAAATAAAATGTCGTAAACAAAAATAGAAACCTTATCTAGTTAACGTTGCTCTTTATAAAAGAAACGTTGCTTTCGCATGGTGGGGATAGTGGGTTATGGTCGACTCATCTATCGTTAGAGAAAAGACGTTGTCACTAGGTCTAGATAGTAAATAAGTCGTACATCAATGTTTCGACACTGGATTTGGATAGGGAGTTGTCAATTTGGATTGTGAATTGGTCGGTACAAAACTAGTTTTGGAAAGGCGCCACCCCATTCCATCCCCCGAAAAAAAATATATATAATATTTTGATAGGGTTGCAACCCTATCAAAATAAGTAAAGCTTCACCTCAAAACTCATAAAAAATTGTAATCATAATACCAGAAAACCTTTAAATCGATCATCTCGGCCTTGACCGTTAATGGTTATGGAAAAGAAAAGGATTTCAAGCCTTAACAATAGTATATATTGTAACACATTATGTAGACCGTCCATTTCACCTTAAAAAGAAATCATGAATTCGAAAGATCTGTACCATTTTTTAACTTCAAATTTTATAGTCGGTGTTGGAAATCGATTTTAGAACCATCAAGGAGATTTCCGATGCTTAAAGTGCTTTCTGGATGAGGATTCGAGACGAGGCTTTGTTTTGGTTTTATAAAGCCTAAGCCTTATCGAAACTGCCTCAAAAGAAAGAGAAATATTTTATGTTATTTTTATGAACAAATATCTTCATACCCCCCATTTTTAGGCTTCATTTCTCTATAAACCTAATATTTCAAAACATATCTTCTAACCCTTGACTAACTTCACTCACTTTGAACCAGTGTTTAAAAAAACGCCTAGTCGAACCGAACTCGCCCGATTTGACTCGGGAATTGCCATGGACGGATCGAATCAGCGAAAAAAATGGGAATCGTCCGGTTCTAGAGAGAATCGGATGATTCTGCACAGTGACTCACCGATTCACTATACAGTGAATCGGCGAGTCCCGTGCGGAATTTTTTTGTAATACTTGATCGATTTTTTTGTAATCCATGATCGAATTGTTTTTTTTTTTTTTTTTGTAATCCATAATCGAATTTTTGTTTTTTTTTTTTGTAACCCATAATAGAATTTTTTGTAATCCATGATCGAATTTTTGTAATCCATGATCGAAATGTTTGCTTTTTTTTCTTGTAATCCGTGATCGAATTTTTGTTTTTTTTTTTTTTTGTAACCCATGATAGAATTTTTTGTAATCCATGATCGAATGTTTGTAATCCATGATCGAAATGTTTGTTTTTTTTTGTAATCCATGATCGAAATGTTCGTTTTTTTTCTGTAATCCATGATCGAATTTTTTGTTTTTTGTTTTTTTTGTAACCC